CTTTAAATGTCCAATCGGAAGCCCTGTATCTAACACAATCTTCATGTACAACGAAGGGGAAAAGGGGCTTAATCTTGTCAAACACAGCACAAAGCAATCAGAAGGGCTGATCTTTGATGAGGGGATGGATTATAATCAAATAGAGGCTCAGGGTCTGGATATCATCCCATGGTATTAACTGTGGCACATCTGCGGACCAAAAGAAGAAGAACAGTATCATCATTACGAGAATACTTTTTTACTGTTGTTCGGAATATTTTGATGATGGAGTTTGTGCAATTGGCAAAAAGAGAGAAAATTAAGGAAACAGGGATTACAACTTCCACTAATCACAGTTGATAGGAGGCAAAAGCAGAAAGCAGTTGTCAGATGTGAACTTCAGGGAATGTCCGAAAAATTGGGTCTGGACTTTCTCATTTATTTATGGTGCTGCTTTTTAATCCTGAGATATTTGTATAGTCTTTGTTTATTATTTTTGCATCTGCTGCTTGCTAGAAGCGTCATTGACACACCCACTCGCTCAGCTAATTCAGACATTAAGTGTTGGGGCTGGCAGAAGAAACTCTGGGGAAAATTCTGCAGCATCTCACTCATACTTTTGTTGTCTCCTCCAGAGAATGTCAAGAGATTATCCGCACATCTGAGGGCAGGTTTAGAAGAGCAGATTTTAGACTACAAAGATGTAAATCTTCAAGGAAAAGTTGTCAGTTTACTTTAAGAGTATGGACGCCATAATTGCCTGGAAGAAATACAGGATGCTCGATTAATTTTCTTTAAAGAAATAATTTTAAAAATTATTTGATTCCTCTTTCGCTTACAAGGTGAATGCATGACCAACACTTTTGTATGTAATAGCACCGTTGTTTTGCGCACAAACAGTAATGCACTGTATTGTTTACCAACCCTGACAGAGCTGAACATGCTTTTAGTTAAACATTGTACAGACATGCAGAGAATCTCAGCGATGGATCAATCGGTGTGGTTACATACAGTAGCAGGAAGTCTGATTGAGTTCAACCTCTCGATAAGGTGCCTTGCATTATTTATGGTTACCTGCAGAAGCCATTCATTAGCCACGTTTCAATAGCTGACATAGATTGATGGATGGTTATCTCGTTAGAGGAAAAATTTATTCATTGGGCACATCACACAATTTTAATGGATGGTTAGATAATACTGATTCCGGACTTGTTAGTGAGAAGATCCCTAATTAACATCAAAATCAATCTGACGTGTCTGCAAACAGGGGAAAGGTGTGGGGCTGAGTGTTGACAGGGTGACGGGATGTTCACTTCCACTTCACACCTGCTCCACTCCAGGCTATTTTTTCGATATTACAATTATTTCGGGAAAAAAGAGAGAGAAGAGTCTGATAGGGCACAATATGATTTTCTATTCAGGCAGAATAAATGCCACACATAATGCATTAAACCTATAGTTATTGCACAGAATACTTGTACAATACTGTGTTAGAAAACAAAGAACAGGAGGAGAAGCCCTGGGTTTTCAGGGGGTGGATCTCATGGGCCTTTGGGTTCAGAAAAACAATATGTGCATGGAACCAGATGTTCTAGCAAAGTTTGGTAGAGGTGAAATTGAATTAATTTGAATTTCGTTCTTTTTAAACCATGTGTAAAACATCTAAATTGTGAAATGCGGGTAATTAAAAGGCATTAAAGAGGCAACAAACAATGTAGCTTGTCGCTGAGTGGATAAGTTGTCCTCATTCAAGACAGACCAGCACATTTCAACATGGATGTTTAAGATGAATATGCACATTGCACAATTTACAAAACTGAAAACTTGAGCTAACTTGTAACAAGTCTAATTCATCTTTTACAATAAAACTAGTGGTGTCATGTTTCGATCAGTGCCATTAAAAACCTGTGTCTACCAGGAGTGAATGCCGATTGTATCCATTCCCATTGCAGACAGAAGCCAGATGTCCGTGGGTTTTTTGAGCAGTGGATAGGAGGCTTTACAAAGACACCTGCGAGAGGCACAGACTGAAAAAGGACCCTCCATGCAATATCTCTGTTAGCACACAGATACATGTTTGCTCGGTTTATATACCGTAGATGATATCTAACATATATTAGTCAACTGTGTTTCTGCCAAATATCATGTCTGGAGATACAAGGAGTAAGAGCAGATTAATTTATGAGCCAAATTTCAGTTTCTGTACCCGACAGTGTTTGGTGAATCATCTTATTGTGATATTCTATAGCTGTGTGAGATATAGTCGGGCTCCTAGCAAACCATTTTGCAGAATGTTATTAAAATATATATATTTCAGCCCCGTTTATTGGATATCTAATTGCATTTGTTCAGAAAGTCAATTAACATTGTGCACCATCCATCGGCTTGGAAAAGAAAAGAAAAAAAAGTTTGTTTCTCGCCTCATCATCCTGTGGAAATCATCCGGTGGAAAAGAAAAACACAAGATTCAATACTAACAAAACATGTTTTTCCTCTGGATTAGAATGGGTAAAGCTCCCCAGGTGCCCGTACTGTACACACACACACCATCACAGCACTGCTGCACAATCATGCACACACTACACAAGTCTTCACCCATATACTTAAGTCCTCTTTCTCCCTTCAATGCACAAGGCCATAAGTAAATATGAGATGGAGGACATGTTTGTGAGTTTGTCTCTGATCCCCTCAATAAGTCATGGGTCGTGTCAAGGAATATGGTTTGTGGCAGCAGAGACGGCAAAAAAAAGATAAACATGCTCAGCGTTTTTCTTTTAGGGTTCATTACTCTGCCGATCCCGGGTGGGCCAGAGTTGAGGAGAGGAGTTAATTTCTACCGCGTGAGAGAGAAAAAAAACACATTAACTGAAACCTATCCATCTTCCAAGTGCTGACACCTCCATTTAAATTTCTTATTTCTAAAGGATGTAGAGGGAGAATCCTCTTCGCTTGGTATGAGCCTGCATGTACTAGGAGAATGTGTGTGTGTGTGTGTGTGTGTGTGTGTGTGTGAGATAGCTTCCGCTGTAAAAAATTGTTCATTATGATATTTTCAATTTAAAGAGGCTGAGATTTCCTGCTCTTTTGAAAAATTAAGTGGCATTTTCTGTGGATTAATTTCCGGCATCGGGGAGTGTATATTCATAATGCTAATGCAGGTTGCTGTGTTTTCATTTGCTCCAGGGGAATGAAAACTGTGATTTGGGGGTGGGTTTCTATCAATCTATTCAAGGCCCATATTTTAAACACGGGCCGCATTAAAATTACACTTGACATTTCATCAACAAGAGGTCTATAACACCTTAAGGGCAAACTATATGTAAAGATGAAAAATTACATTAATAGCTGATAAGTCTTGAACATGAGCTCAATCCTCTAATGGAATCTTTTAAGAGAAAGTTTTTCTACCTTTCTCTGCAACTTTTAAGTGCCCCCCACCCTCCCATTTTACCTAAATCTCAGCCTACCTGACTGATTATATATGCTAAGTGGTCTTGTCATTAAGTCCTTGGTTGCCTAGTGTAATGAGCAGCCTTAGAAAGGGATCGGCTGGCTTTAATCAAATTAGCCCCCAACGTCACCAACTCCCCATCGAGACCAGCTCTGTGCCAGGGCTGCCAATATTATGCCCCATTAAGAAACAAGGCCCAACTCTCTCTTTCTCTCTCTCTCACGAACATTAACACTAATCAGTGAAAGAATTAAGAGTGCTGGGGGATGCCTAGGGTCTGCATCATAGGAGTGTTACTAATAGAGGCAAATCTGACTGATGTTATTACACATAAATTATGACGTCTTAAACACACTCTGTGTTTTGTGCTTTCCAAGGTAAAAGTTTAACCTATTTAAGGAACTTGCAATTACATTGCTGCTGCAGTGGTAGTAAATCATTAGAAATCGTAACTGTAGTAAGTTGGGTTCTCCGATCCAGAAAGCCAAATCCATTTACAATCCCTGCTTTGTTTGATCCAGGTTCACCAGCGGTCAAAAAGTTGTTATAGACTATAGACTATAAATAAAGATGGATGACACATCTCCACTTCCTCCCGCAATCCAGAAATGAAGCTTAAACATACAACTGAGCGGTGACAAACAAAACAAATTTTCTTTTTTCTGAACTGGATACCCACGGTACGTTGATTACTGAAATTCCACTGTATGTGGCTCAGCTCAAACTGTACACACACGTGTGCACAAACACACAGGCTCCCACTGGACCCAACCTTCAGAGTAGCGAGATTTGCCTTAACAAAGTGGAAAATAATTTCCAATACATATTAATGAAGCAGAGTTGAATCTATGCCCTTGGAACTTTATGAGAGTGTGTGCCAATGCAATGCTGCGACAGCACCATAGTTTATGTGTGGCTTAGATTTTGGGGTGTGTGTGCAGAGGGTGGTATTGGTAGCTGGGCTCAACAGTAAGAGCCCTCATCTATCATGCTGAGCTCAGTGTGATGGGGCCTCATAGGTCCATGTGACTGACCCTGACTGTGAAAAAGCCTATCAAGTCTGGATAGGAGGACTGGCACCGCTTCACGACTGTAGCATCCACTAACTGTACGTGTAAGCAATTCTAAATGGTGGGTTAATGATTCAAAACACAGAGAGAGATTCCATCATTTATGTGTGGATGTGAAGCCAATCTCACATGCACACACTAAATGTATCTGCACATGCACACACGCACACGCACACACACACACAGAAACCACAAAATCCTGCTTGTGCAGTAAATCACCCAGCCCAGCTTGTTCATCTAGGGCTGAGAGTGTGTATTGAACAGAGAGAATTGCACCCCCTGCAGCTCTCGTGGATGACACAGCCACTTACAGCCTGACCAATAGGCCATTTGCGCTCAATGATTCACTTAAACACGTTAATAACTACGGCCACTGGCTACGGTACGAGGGTAAACAAAAATAGGTGAGCAGATGGGCAATCATGAGCATGTACACACCTATAATTAAATTTTGTGCCTGCAGCCACAAAAATGCAAACATGTAAGCTAGTGTAGGCTTTTCAGTAATTTATTTTTGACACAAATTTTATACATGCACAAGGTGTTGTGTATCAGGTTCAACTCACAGGCATGAAATGAAATGTGCACAACAATGTCAATTTTATAGAAGAGGAGGGCACTCAGGACTGTAATTAAAAGTTTTCAAACACACACACACTCAGCTTTGCTAAGCTGGCCATTATTCCTGTGCTGTGTTGCTACTGTATCATGCTGATACCCTGGGGCAATTTGTTATGGACATCAGAGGAGCGGCGAAGGTCACAAGCAAGACAGAGTATCAGCCAGCCTCATCATGAGTGCTGCTGATCCAGCACTTTCCAGACATCACCTGCTGATGTTGAGAAAAGAAAGTGACGAAAACGAGGAAAAAGTCAGAGACACAGTGATGACAAGACACGGGGATGTGCAGGTAAACTATAAGAAGGGCAGTGGTCAAATTTACAACACACAAAACACCGGTGTCAGCTCTTATCACCACAAACTCTCTTGACACATTTGTCTGCGTCTTCTACGTGTGTGGCTCTGCTTTATCACCCAGAGATATTTGTTTCATTCTTTTGTTGTGTGTTAGAAGCATCGTCAACCCCCCCACTCACTTGCTTTCAATCCAGCAGGGGATATGCTCTCACATCGGATTCTCCTGACTATCCGCAGACTGTATATGAGGGGGCCAGGCGGAGAAAATCCACAGATAGACTTTCAGTTGTGAAAACACCATAAGAAGAAATTATCCTTCCAACAAAAACAAAATAAAAATCTATTAAAACTCTAACCCATGATTGTTTTATGTGAGCGTCATTGCTTAGTGGTTGGATTAGAAATTAAAAAGGAAAAAGAGGAAACAATTAAGGACTAATTTCTAATCAGCAATTCATTCAGTGCAATTACCTTTAAAGGCCAAACATATCCTAACAACAATCGGATGGCATTTCACACTCAATAAACCAAAAATCCCGGTCGTCAGACTGACACTGAGCTAGAGCGTAATCCATATTTCAATTATCTCCAAGCCTACAACTCATCTATTTTTTTTGTCTAGAGATATTGCAACTCTCATAGACTAGTGGATCAAGAATATCTTTTTTTCAAGTACATCTTATTTCCGAAAAAGTATCATTATGCAGGAAGCGATAAGGGCTAAAACTCAAAAAGAATGAGGAAGACATTTCTGCCTGAGGGTATCAGCGTATGAAGGATTACAGGCAGTGTGGCCTCTTGATCATTCTAATTAACACTCACAGCAGTGTCACAACTCCTCACTACTACTTCAACAGTCAGCCAAAACTGGCCAGATATCCACAATCTCCACGAGTGGAATTAAAGTGGTCATCAACTCAATATTTCCTGACCACTGAAAAGGGGCTGGAAAGTGGAGTACCGGTGAAATGATGAAATATTTGACAGTGACAATGTGAACCCTAAAAAAGTCACAGGGTGGAATTAGGCTAACTGGAGTTCTGTGGGGCAACAGGGAGACAGAGCTTGAGAGTTTGAGAAGAGATTGAAAGTCCCGTTAGGACAGAGAGAAGGAAGGAAAACTTCCAAAGGGGAGAGCGAGACAGGAAGAGTGAGGAGTATTTAGGTCTCTTTAGTGCAGCCACTTCTTGACTGGGCACTTTGGAGGGAGGGGAAATGGAAAAGCTCTACATCCAGGTGCTTATCTCTGACCAGAGCTTAGAGTCAACCGACCACCAAACTGCTTTACCCGACAGCAAGACATTCGCGGGGTAAGTTCCAATCAGGCTGTGAAGAGAAACGTCCAGGAGAGATAGTTCTACCAAGCTAGTGTAACTTTTCTTTTATTTCAACATTTTCTCACGGTACCAGGGCCACTCCAAGGCCAAGAGTTGACGGCTCAGAGCACCACCTCCCAAATTGTGGGTTCGGATGTATAATATGCATGTACAGATAATTCAATAATGCTGTTTGATTCATACAGAAAAGAAAAAGGTTGAATCCAAGACACCAAAGCAGTCAGAGCCGTTGTCTCAAATGATTTAATGTAAAAACCATATGTATTAGAAAGTCTAATTTCTAAGCTTTGTTAATTATTTTCTTTGTTACTCCTTTTCTATAACAGTATTCTGTACAATCTTTGCATGACACACTTGTTTACATGTTGATAATGTGTGACCCAACTAACAGGTATAAAATCGCAGTTGATCCAATGATTCCAGCAAAGGACACAATTCAGGACGTCTTTAGGCACCTTGGCGCTAACTTAACTACACTTGCATAAAATTAAATAATGTAAAATATTAATAAAGCTATGAATAACTTATGCCAAATAATTATGGCCCATTAAATTAAAAAAATAAGCCCAAAGCTAAGTGTCCAACTTATATGAGTCTGAATGCAGCAAATGCTGAAGTCTGAGTCACCTGTGTTTATGTGATGAAAAGTACCTGAGACTGAGAATATAATGAAACGTCTTCACATTCAATGACTTGAGACAAATCGTTGTGATCAAACATGGAATATAATGTTTTGATTGACTTGATATGTAAAACCAATGATGTAAAGGCGTGTTAAGAGTGTGGCCCTAATATGGATTATTATTTTTGAGGACAGTTTTCATTTGATTTGTTTTGAAACTCTGCAGGAGGCCACAAGAAGCACAGCCTTATTCAGCATTTATTTAGGACAGTCATTTTTTTCCAATGTTCTTGAATATTTTTCAATTAGACTTGTAAATGGGAGATACACAGAAGAAAAATAAAGAAATCTATTTTGATGACCCAAATATTTTTTATTTTGGGAAACCTTAAGATGCTCCTCAACTATGATGCAGCCAAACTGTGCAGGATAACGACTCCAGGGAGTTCTCACTGAAATATGACAACTCGGAACATCAGCACATTCTAGTCGTCGCAATAGTTCTCCTCATCTTTGTTTCTGTGAATACCTGCAATAGGCCTTTGCTGCTCTGCAATTCCATTATCGCCTGCATGTATGAGATGTTTTGGAAGTTCCGCAGGGGAGTAAGCAGAGCCGGGGGCTGGTGGGAGGATGGGTGGAAGAAAGAAAAGGTACAGTCCTGAGAGAGCAGAGAGAACGAGTGGCAGATAGAGTTAGATATAGAGGTGTGGTGTGCAGGGCTATGGGCCTTTCTGTCCTGCAGGGGATTACAGATGGCCCTCAGAATTAAATCAAAACTGTGCTGACTGCCAAGGAATGGGCTCTGCGACACATCGAGTGCCACATGAGAGGGGGGTAACAGGAGTGTGGCGGGAGGAGGCTGGAGCGGAGGGCTGCAGACACACAGCGAAAATCGCCTTCAAATGAGTTTTTGAAATATCTAAAAATAAATTGCCTTTGAAAAAGCTCAACAGACAGCTGATATGAGGGCTGGATGGGGGCCAAGTTAAAAGTTGCCCTCTCCACTCCTCATCCCAGCCTCTTCTGTACCTTGGCATAATTCACTTTCTCACATCTCACACCCCTCCTCGCACACACCAGCATGCATGCAGGTAATATACTTACACGTGGGTTTAAACAGAGGTCAAGTCTCTAATTTGGTTACCAATTAGCAAAAGTTGGATTAGAAGATGAAAAAGCACCTTCTCCTGGCTGACGATATTTATAAACTAAATACTGTACATGGGGGTTTAGTCCAATGGCCCAACAGATGGCGTGGTCTATTTTTAGAGGAAAGGATTGAATAATGTGTAATTGACTGTGTCTGCTCATCATTTCCTTCATGCACATGCTGCATATCAAACCACATCTACAGACGGCATTAGCATTATACCTGGAACATAAAGTTGATTTCTGGTGATAGTGAAATCGAAACATTAAAGCTGCCTATGTTGCTTAATTACACGCCCTTCATAATGATGCTTCTTTATTTAGCCTCTTTTCCAACTCGCATCTTTCCTCAATGAGGGAGCAGCACTTCATCTCTGAAGCAGGCCTGATGTCTCTATCTCATTCCCGAGCCCTGTGGAGATTAACTTCTAAGCACAGTGTGTAAATGAAAATGGAGCATCTATAAAATGCAAATGAACACACAAACGAGTCGAGGGACATTATAGCTTGACTTTTTGAACTCTGAGCCCAAGAACTTTCAGGAAAGCAGACGAATTACGATGGTTGATAATCTGGGTTGGTAAACAGCACTTCATGTCTGAGCTGAAGTCCAGAAATGTCAAGTGCTTGGCTATATTAGTGTATTTTGTATTGTATTTTTCATCCTCTGACCACCATTTCTCTACAATAGCCACATAGTTAGTGCAAAAAAGGACATGATTTTCCAAACTGCATTGTTCTTATCAGAGAAAACAGATGCATCCATTTGAATGGTAATTCTTTACTTTCCCACAATCACAGATCACAGACCTTTCTAATAACCTCAATGTTGGACAGCAGAATATAAGAGACTGCTTCAAACTAAAACTCTCCCATTTCTAAAGATTTGTAAACTGTGGCTGTGCACACTCTGTTCATTCCCGAGGCACAAAATTAATTATATTTCCTAAGGCTTACAGTCACTGCAGTGAAAAGACTTTGTCTTTTCAAAGACGCTCTAACACAAAAGTATAAACTAGGTACTGCTGCGCCTAAATTCAAAATAATGAATCTCCTCAAGAAAGCATGAAGCTGTACCCACAGATACAAAATGTTAATCATTAGCATCCATAGTCCATAACCTCAAAACACATATGCTGTAGTTAAAAGGCAAGATATACAATTACTTTAAGCAATATAAATATGAGAACTATAGATAAGTTAGAGATATATACTCACTCACAGAAGCTTCTCTCATGCTCTCTTCATTTCTGCAGAGTCCATCTCAAAGATGGATGTCAAGGTGAAGTTGCCATCAACCACTAATTAAGCACACGGAGGCTTGTTGACCTGCATACGTTGGAGATCTCTCTAACTTTTAATACTGGCAGCCCATATGCAATTCAAGTAGTTTCCCTTTAACTAAACAACTTCATATCCCAAGTGAACACAGCTGTATCCATCCAAACTGAATTTAATCAGTCAAATTAAATCAGCCGCACTACAGCAAAAGGACACAGCAACGTACTTAGTGCAAATCAGCGAATCGCTCCCCATTCACGTGTTGACCTTTTCTATCTTTTTTTTTTAATCACTCATTTGCCGACCAAATCAGAATACCATCTCTTTCAGTCCTGGATCACACTAATTGGCATTTGCACTATATACAAAGTGCTGCCATTTACACCCCAGTTGGAGAAAATTCAGAAGATAAACAGTGTCACTGGTAACATGTTGCATAATTTTAACAATACACTCGTGGATTCTTTAGGTTGGGTAGGTAGACCCTTATTGCGTCACTCCCACCTCCATTATCAAGACTCA